TTTTCAGGAAAATCTCTTTTATTTTTCATTGACCACACCCCTATTTTTCATTGACTTCCATTTCCCCCCTCTAGTCAAATATTTTTCATTTGCAGAAATCATTTTTCGAATTTACAAACGCACCCTTAATAGGAGTGAATAAATTCTTGTTAGTGGTTATTAATCAAAAGTGTGCATGTCAAATGTTCGTCGTGGTCGAGGTAGAGAACTAGTATCATGAAGGAAAATAGTGGCAATCCCCATGATTGAATTTACACAACTACTTATTATCGTTTCCGATCCTAGCAAATATCTGCTCATCCTACTTATACGGATTCAATGTGCTCCAACTGAAGGGGGAACGAATCAATAACATTGTTTAAGATCCGAGGGAAGCTAGATCCAATCTAGGGCTAAGGATATACACCAAAGGTAGCAATGTGTGCAAATACCAACGTGTCTAAACCAACATTCGAAACTATACCTAGGAACTCGTAAGCAGTCTTGGAGAGGTTTATTTAGACATGGGCCTCTTGATTTCCCTTGAACTCCTCCCAAATCTTGGAGTGACTCTCCTATGAGATCGTACAGATCAGTATTCGTGAGATGGATCACGATAAGATGAAAATGTAATATTTATATCAAAAAATGTAATACTAATAATGAATAAAGTATTTAATTTGTTACTTATAAAGGAAAGTGTAATATTTTTGAAGAAAAAAGAGTTAATACCTAATTTAGTTATTGACAATAGTAGTTTTTCTCGATTTAGTTCTAATCGTCTTTTAGGCATAATGAACAAGTGCACCCCACAATTATTCCTCATCTTACAATTTAAGCACCTTGAGTATAATACCTATAAAATACACCCAAAAAGGCACAAATACACACAATTAACCCCCTTAAAACACCCCACAATCAAATGCATTTTGTCACTTACTCTTTCACGAGACCAAATTACCCCCATGAACACACAACACTCTATTGTGTACCTTCTACCACTCGGTGATCAAGCTCAATCATCATCAAAAAAAATACCTCAACATTCGTATACCCTCGACTAGCATATAAGATCACTTTTCCAGGAGCCCTCTTTAGGTATTTCTCAACCTGAACGGCTGCATTCCAATGAATCTGAGTAGGAGCCTCCCTGAATTAACTTACCACACTTACCGAGAAAGTAATATATGACCGGGTAATAGTGAGAGAGTTTAGCTTTCCCACTAACCTCCTATACATTTCGGGATCATCAAGTAGCTCCCCTACACCAGCAATGAGCTTGATACTTTGATCCATGGGTGTCTCACAAAGCTTTAACTCTTGCAACCCAGTATCTTTTAAAAGATCCAACACATACTTCCTATACGAGAGAATTATACCTTTCTTAGAGCGGCAACTGCAATACCCAAGAAGTACTTCAAGATTCCCAAATCCTTTGTATGAAACTTCCCTTTGAGAAAAGACTTGGAAGATCCAACACATACTTCCTCTACGATAGAATTATACCTTTCTTAGAGCGGGCAACTCCAATACCTAGAAAGTACTTCATGATTCCCAAATCCTTTGTATGAAAGTTCTCTTTGAGAAAAGACTTGAGAGCTTCAATTTTTCCTACATCACTACATGTGATCACTATGTCATCAACATACACTACTAAAATCAACAATGACACTACTAAACCTCTCAAACCACGCTCTTAGAGACTGTTTCAAGCCATATAAAGACTTTTCCAGTCTACACACTTTCACATACTCCCCCTGAGCAACAAATCCAAGTGGTTGCTCCATATAAACTTCCGCAGACAATTCACCATGCAAAAAGGCATTCTTAACATCCAGCTGATACAACGGCCAATGATTAACTACAGCTAAAGAAATAAATATACGAACAGATGTTAACCTGGGTACAAGAGAAAAAGTCTATGTGTAGTATACTCCATATGTTTGAGCATGCCCCTAGGCTACCAATCGCGCCTTCAACCTAGCCATTGAACCATCCGGATTTGTTTTCACAACAAAAGCCACTTGCACCCAATAGTAGACTTACCAGCTGGGAGAGGAACTAACTCCCAAGTCTGATTGTCCTCTAGAGCAGTCATTTCCTCTTTCATAGTAGTCCTCCAACCATCATGAGACAAAGCCTGATGCAAAGTCTTAGGACAAGAGATAGAAACGAATAGATAGGATGACAACAACTACGTTTACCTTTCCTTAGGGAAATCGGAAGATCCAGATCATTTGACGAAGATTTTGGAAAGGGGGGAGTATCCACCTATGTAACTAACGACACAATCGTTTCCCTTGGCCGCCTAGAATAAACTTGTGTAACCGGAGGTGTAGCTCTCGAAACAGACCCAGTAGTAGACTTAAGAATAGTAACGGTGTATGTAAGGAAATCGTCTTATAACATTGGAGTAGAGACATTGTTAGAAGCATTTTCTTGAAAACAAGGTATCTTTAAAGAAAGTAACATCAGCTGAAACTAGGGGTGGGCATGGGTTAGGTTCGGGTTCGACCCGACAATAACTTTAGGTACCCAAAATTTGTGGGTGTGAAATTTTTATACTCGAAGCCCGAACCGACATATAGATACATTATTTCGGGTTCGGGTAATTCGGATTGGGTTAGGTTCTGGTTTGGGTAGCTAAACCCAAAATTTTAAGACTTATTTTAAAATCTAAACATTTTGACTAAAATTTTGAATTAAAATAAAAAGCAATAAAATAATATTAACAAATTACAACTCAAAAGTTTCTAATATTACAAGAATTTACTAATATAATATTTACAAGCACATTAATAATTAATAAGACAATAATAACAAAATGAGGCATAGGGCGCAAATTATGTTGTGGACTCGTGTCCACAATGCATTGTGGACACGAGTCCAAAACAACGTCGTTTTAAGGGAAAACGCGGTCTTCCAGTTTTTTTTTTTTAAAAAAAGATGATTTTTCTCGCCGTTAACAGCGTTATTCGTTTGTGGCATTATGAATGTACAGTTATGGAATTATGAATGTACAGTTATGGAATTATGAATGTAAGTTATGGAATTATGAACACAGAGCTCTGACATTATAAACTTACAATTATGAACATATAGTGATAAAATTATGAACATAGAGTTCTAAAATTGTGAACATAGAGTTTCGAAAATTATGAATTTACAGTTATTGAATTATGAATGTACAGTTACGGAATTATGAATGTACAGTTACGGAATTATGAATGTACAGTTATGCAATTATGAATGTACAGTTATGCAATTATGAACACAGAGCTCTAACATTATGAACTTACAATTATGAACATATAGTGATAAAATTATGAACATATACTCCTATAACAAAGTGGTCTGAATTTAGGAAAAAAAAAAAAAAAAAAAAAAAAAAAAAAAGTGGAAGAGAACGGTGCCGTGTCCAGCATGCATGCTGGACACGGGTCCATAGCATAACGGTTGGGCATAGGGGGCATTGATCTATTGAAATGCTTTAGTGCTTGAAGCCCATACAACTTGAATAGTTCATCCACAAGTTATAGTTCCATCTTCAAATTTCAATTTTTCTTAAGAAAACACAATAAATTACTATCAAAATTTATGAGAAGAGTTATAAATATTTACCATAGCTAATAGCTCATAGCTCAATATAGAGGATTTACAAAGTATAAACAATAATGAAAAATTGTTTCATACGATCACATAGGAGACAGTAATAAACATTAATGCATCATTCTCATTAGCTTCGATATGATGCATGTTCCCTTTTACAATATGATTGAGTTTTCCTTTCTTCTTATTAAATAATTCTGCAATCATCCTAACAAGGTCACTCCTCACAATGCAACATATACATCCATTGTTAAGCACTTAAGCATCATAATGTGATTAATGTCCTAAACTACAACAATTTTTTGCAGCAACCGAAGTCCAAAGAACCATGCATATCTACTTCACCATATTGCAATATATACAATTTAGTATAAACTTAGAACCTCTTAGTATTTTCGAGATAGAGGTTTTATAGGTTTTAAAAGAGTTAATACCCAAAATAGTCCCTCAACTATGTCGTAATTACCAATTTGATCCTCGACTATTATTCTTACCCAATTAAGTCCTCAACTATACAATTTTTACCGAATTTAGTCCTTTTGTCAATTTGACTGTTTGTTGACTGTCAAAAGTGGAAATAAAGTTGTAATTTTACAAGTTTTCTCCTTCCTCCTCATTTAGCAGCGCCAAACTATGTAGCAATAAGCTCCAGTTGGGTTCTAAACCTGTCAGTATCGAAGTAGTGGTTATGCATCGGATAGCCCATAAATTTGATTTCGAACGATTTTTTGACGATTGAAATCTGATCGGAGTGTATTGCTGCATGGTTTGGCGCTACTAAATGAAGAGGAAGGAGAAATCTTGTAAAATTATAATTTTATCCCGACTTTTAACAGTCAACAAACAGTCAAATTAATACAGAGGACTAAATTGGGTAAAAATTGTATAGTTGAGGCCTAAATTGGGTAAGAATTGTATAGTTGAGGACTTAATTGAGTAAAAGTTACATAGTTGAGGACCAAATTGGTAATTATGACATAGTCGATGGACCATTTTGGGTATTAACTCGTTTTAAAATATAAACTTTAAGAAGTTAGACAAATAAAAACAAGAAAAAGTTGAACAAGATCTGACCATTTCATTATCAATTCAGTAGAGCATTCTAGAATACCCAATCAACCAAATACAATACTCAACCATATTCTCAATAATTGCAATGCATTTTCAGTTTTCAGGTTCCATTATTAGCAGATGGTTTAGCAAAGTGTATGCAAATGACAATTGAACACACAATTAGTGCAATAATTATTAAGACACTTTTGATTGTTCCATCAACAAAGCCCAGCTTATTTTTTGAAAGCAATGCCATCATCATCCTCTTGCCAAGGGATGATAGTTTGGTTCATCCAACACAGAAGAAACCAGGAGGAAGGAAGGATTTTCATTCGAATGTAGGAAGAAGGGACCTCCTAAATCAAAAATGTGTTAAAACATTTCTTTTCCTCTCGAAAACTTGTACATCAAAATATTCACTCTAACATAGATAAACCATGCAGTCAAGGCAGATTTCAGAATTCTATTAAAGGCACAACATCTATTGTTGCGTGTGTCGGCCAAAATTCATGAAATCGCATCACAATTTCACTACGCTAATCACTATCAACAGGCAATACATGGCTTGCAATGGCCTAAATAGAATCACTTTACAAATAGAGCAGCTAGCCCTCGGCCACCACAACTCTCCAGAGAACTAAGTTTTTGAGTTGCCATACACAGCTGCCTTTCCTATGACCAAAACTTAGAATAGCTGAAAAAAAAAAAAAAACATAAGCAGTAAAAGCTAAACTAGATTGACTTCTCACTTATGTAGCAACTTCATCAACTTCGGAATGGAAAACAAAGCTTGGAAACGTCGTAGTTATGTCCCTGCATCACAGTAACTCTCTTCAAATGTAAATTCAGGTGGTTGAATCTTGTGCATCTATAAATCAATGTTGCGATGAGATACCTTAAATATGGAAGCGTCATTATCTTCAGCAACGAAGGGTTTTTGTTCACAAAAGAATGCCATTCGCATTTATCAATCTTTCCGTCCTGGTTCGTATCTGCCTCTAAAAATGTCTGTCCACAGAAATAAATAACACATTATGCCCTATAACTTGTCACATCCAAGTACAAAAATCAAGTTCAATTCCTCATTGAAGTTCAGAGAATTCCATAGCCTAGGTAAATATACTAATTGTTTTTCCATTTTCTTAACCTATGTCCTCTATCAATAAAGCCAAAAGTCAGTAATAAGGAATACACATAAACACACGAGTCAAATAATTCAATTGAAATGAAAAGGCCAGAAAAGTATTGTATAAGAGGAATTGAGTTCATTTATCATCATTAACTTACCTTATCCAGTATTATCTCAATGGTCTCATCAGCCAACTTCATTTCAGACTCGCACAGAAGTGCTATCAACATTTGTTTAACCTGCAAAAATTATAGATAATACAAAGGATTTAGATATACATTGCATCAAAAGCAACATAATTAACTAAAGATGACCTCATATTTTGGTCTTGCATTGCCATTTACAGTGACAAACTTTTCTTATATGTAGAAGAAAACAGACCAAGAATGAAATAAGTCAGAAACAAGGCCAGAAAATTGTCATAGTGGGATCATCCAACAATATATACTCCATCTATCAGGAATTAGAAAGATTAAATCACATCATGAGGCATAACTCACCAAGCATGCTGAGCTGGTGCATAAATTTTCATTGCATTTGTAACAAATGTTCACTAGAACTATATATTAATTACTCCAAATCTTTGAATCAAATATTCATTACCTTTATTAAATAATTTTTTTAATGACTCGTAGATCTTGACCGCACCCCTGTATGATTCTTGAAAACTTTCAGTGAGTCATTTTTGGGGAAAGATCACGGATTGAACCTATCCGCAGAACATGATTTTTATTTTTTTTTCACAAACCAACCGGTATATAATTTGATGAACATATTACAAACATGGGTTTGGCCAAAGAAAAAAAAGTAGCTGGGAAGCAATAGAACTACTAACTAAATGGGCACAAATCATTAGGCAGGGTAAGTAGTACATGACTACACACATCAGTGCACAATGAAGAAATATCATAATGTCCTTGCAGATGCTTTGTAGCATAGCATGAGGAAAAAAACAAGCATAAAAGAATCAAATACCTCTTGGCGCTCAATGAACCCTGTGCCATCCAAATCATAAAGCCTATATGAAACTGCAATAACACAGCCAAAGTCCAATTTATTTTATGTACTCAATTTTATCATAGAAATGAGAAAATAAAGTATGCTTTGTACAGATTTATATTAGCATTTCTATTCACTCACAGTTGATCTTATCCTCTAGTGGGGCATTGGGGTGGAAAACATTAAGCCCTCTAACAAAATCACCAAAATCAATGACTCCCTTTCGCTTCACATCAAAGAGTTCAAAAATCTGCAAGCAGAACCATTTTACTATGCATAAGAATGGAAACTAATATTACACAAATACAAACTCTAAACAATTACTTGAATGAGTTGTATGATACTGAAGTTCTTTCTATGGACCTTAAAATACTTCACTATCCATTATAAAATTAATTTATTGTTAGAAAAACCATTCTCTTAAAGCATAGTGTACCATACCCGATTAGCAAAAAGGTTCTCTTTCTTTCTGTTCTTGAATAAAGCCAACTGAAACTCTTCCTGCATACACACATGGTTTTCCAACATGAACTTAGAATAATATGCAATGCATTAGCCCAATGGGGGTTAAGATAGACAACTTCAACTTGTCAAAGACCACATATACGTCATGTAGCATGCTGAAGTCTAGTAAAACTAACAATCTTCTGCAAAAAATTTCAACTCACATAAATAAATAACAAATAACAAATTAAAAAGAGAGAGAGAAAGGCCATAAACTCAAAAAACAGCTAACAGGATAAGTTATCAAAGATTTCCTTGAAACATTAGAGACACACTATTTCTGTTTAATTATATGTGCTTTACAATAATATCATTATCAAATATGTCAATTAACAACTCACCTATCCAACTCCAATTAAAAATAAAGAATAAAAATAAAAAGAAAGTATAAGAAATGCAAACTTAGTAACAGCCGTGCCAAGTGATACTATGGGAAGTCAACAACAAAACTAATCCGACAAGTGAAAAATATCCATATAAATCCTGCTGCATCTAAACCACAAGTCCACAATAATACAGGACTTAACAAGCAAGAACCTAACAGGTTATCCATATTATCAGGTAATCCCAACTCAAACAGTACACCGCAACCACATACCTTGTTTATCAGCCCATCATCAATCACTGAACTGCTGATACTCTTGAACAGCTCAAATAATGCTTCCACTTCACTAACACTAACTGCAGAAAGAAAGTGTGGCAAACACGTTGATTAAATGAATAGAAAAAAAAAATCTGGAAGAAAAAATAAATGTGAATATTATTGTTAATGAACAGTAATGTCCTTGCATATAGGTTCATAAATATTAACTGATAATCACCAGTTAAGCCTGAAGCTTCAACCAACAATAGACATCTTGACTCTTCAAAACTAATAATGCTATGTGCTCAAAAACATCTCAAAGTCCATACAAAGCACAAGAGGTGTGTGGCTCAGATACAGTAAATAAAAATGAGGAAGACAAACTAGATTGTGGAACAACACTTAGATCAGCTAAGGACCAAGGTCGAAAGATGGAGATTATTACTGAGCTTAAGAAGAAAGAGATCAGCACCATTGAGACCCTCACAGAGCCACAGGTGTGTACCATGCACAATTGCAACACAAAGCTAGCAAGGGACTTTGTGATACATCACAGAAAACTGACTCTCCTAGATGTGTCTAACTCTAACAGCAAATTTTCACCTATACCTCCAATTACTTGATCCACAACTCCAAACAAGCAAACCCAATACGGACAGCATAACTGTTACAATAAAAGAAAACTTTCCCAGTTCTTCAACCCAAGCAGTAATACATTTGATCAATATCCAGAGGATTCATTAATAAATAACTCAATCTAGCCTCTCAAACATGAAATTGGCCTAAATATTGCACCACCTGTGCTTGATCCATTTAACTTCAAAAAAATTTACACAAACTTTGAACAGAGCTATATTAGACCACCTTTCATATAGCTAATCAGCTAAAGGAATGGAAAATGATATATGAAAAAAAAAAAAAAAAAAAAAAAAAAAAAAAAAAAAAACCTTACACGCTGTTTCAGAAGCAAGAACTACAGGGTTTTCGTGTCCAGGAAACTGCTTTCTTACTTTAGACTGAAAACAACCCATCTACCGGAGTTGTGATGGAAGGAACCAAACGCTGGAGATTCGCCTAGTGCCTAGGCTTCTTCACTACAATATATCATCAAAACCATCTTAACCTTGCAAATTACAAAAGTGCAGTATTCACAAAACCAAGTATGAAACAATTAGTTATTCATGTATTAAATTACATCTTCAAAATAAAAATAAAAAGAAAAATAAAAATAAGAAAAGTCAACAACTATAGATTCCCCCTAAATCGTTATGATTATATATTAAATCTAGAAGAAATCACATGTATTATGCAGGAGTAAATGCCATATTATTGCGATCCCGTCCAAAGTATTATTTATTTTTCAATTCTTTCGCCAAATCCACCCTCATGCCCATCCCGCCCCCACTCCCAAACCAAAAGTAGAAAAATAAATAAAGAAACAGGAAGAAAAAGAGAAAAATGTTCAGAATACGAGAACAATTCATTGATGACATAAGTAAAAGCTGAACGCTCTAAAAATAGGTCAAAAAATGACGCAAAAGATAATACTATTTTAATTTCTCTTTCGCCTCTTTCCGATGGAAATGAATCAGCGGAATGCGCAAATCAATAAATTTTCTAGAACACGTTATTTGACGTGCAGAAAAATACTACGAATCTGACAAGGAAAAACCTTCCAATTTTTGTTTTCCAAATTTTGGGAAATTCGCCGGTTTAGGATACACGTCCGTGAAGTTGAAAACCTTCCCCCACCTCCTCCCAACCCAACGACCTAATTAATGAATATTCAAATAGGAGGACATACAAAGAACACCGGAAACTCGAAACGTACCGATGAGCGAAAGTCGCCGGAAAGTTTTGCAGGACGCGCAGAGAGAATAGAGATTGGGAAAAATAGAGAGAGAGAGAGAGTGATGTTCAGAGGGGTTTATGGAGGCCTTGAGAGCCGGTGACATTTAAATGCGCGAGTACGTTGGTAATTTAGTCTTTTTAGCTAGGGATTCATATGTCCATTAATCGATGGCTGGGATTTGCTGCCCAACGGCCTTTGAATCTTCTCCATCCAAACCGGGAGACCAAGTTGGAAACGCTGGAGACGGACCATTTTGAAATTTGGTTAAATACCAAACTCAGCTGGAATTTTATTTTTTATTTGAGTAAGGGTCAAATATTTTACTCTGGTATTTATGCTATTTCTCATTTTGTGATACTTTTGCACTAATTTTATAATTAAATCAGTGTACACTTTCAAATATTAGAATTGTTTATAATTTCATTTTGAATTTTATTATTATCTAAATATATACTAAAAAATTTTACCCTTGCATCATAGGGTAATTGTGTAATTATTTGTTCGAATTCAAGCAAGGATAACATCAGAAAACATAATAAATATTATAACATTTTCATTCCGTGCAACGCAAGGGTGAAAATACTAGTTTATAATAATGTGATAGTGGGTGAAAGTTATACTTTCTCAACCTACTGAAACACAAAGAACCAATAATGCCTCTACTGAGGCTCAAACTCATAATCTTTCAAATGAAAGTCCAACCCGAGTACCATTAGACCACATAGTCCTAATGTTTATAATAATGTTAAGTACATCAACAACTAGTCTATAATATTTTCGTGAACTCTAAATAGCATTAAAAAATCAATTAAGAGTCCGTTTGGACATCTAAAAACAATTTTTTTTTAATTATTTCTAAAAAATAACTCATTCTTCGAAAAATATTTTAATTTTTTGGTGTTGGCATGAATGTCAGAAAACTATCATTATCTGTTTGACTAAAAGTTAAGAAATTATATTTTTTTATGTTTGGCTCATTTTCTTGAAAATGAACATATTATTTGTTATAATAATAATAATAATAATAATAATAATAATAATAATAATAATAATAATAATAATAATAATAATAATTGATGTAGTAAATACAGGTTTCTACTACTTTATACGGTGCTAAGGACGGTTCCGACTACGGCCCCTTCACTTAATTTACCTGTGGATTTAAGTCATCGAGCTCGGATAACGTGATAGTGGGTCAAAGGTTCCTGAGTTAAAGGTTAGAGTGTCTAAAATGTCAAAAGTCCCCCTTATCCGCATTTAATGCGGTATATATTGGGGGAAGAATGGACAAGTACCGGTCTCTCAGCATGCGTGGCACGTGGATCGCATGCATAGGGTAAGGTTGGGGCCCAAGCTAGCTCATCCAAATGTCCTAAGATTCCTGATTCTTTTAGGTGTGCTGCCACCAAGTTTGGCTTAGAGAACTAGGCCTTTGGCTCTAAGTCTTATAGGTCAGATGCTCGATCCCGACTTGATGCGATCGGGGCAGACCGATTGCCACTGCTCTTCACTCTGCCGATCAGACTGCACTCAGTCTAGATTCAGGTCGGGTAGGCGAGCAGTTCAAGTCGGTGATGGTCGGATCGGGCGGATCGGGCTCTACTCAAGTACTGGACTCGATACCAACCAAGTGTAGACTACAGTTCAGTAAGGGATAATCCCTAATAATAATAATAATAATAATAATAATAATAATAATAATAATAATAATAATAATATGTGGTGGTGTGGTGGTAATGGTGATGTTGGTGGCGGTGGTGACGGTGGTGGTGGTGGTGGTGGTGGTAGCGGTGGTGGTGGTGGTGTGGTAATGGTGTTTGTAGGGGTGGTGTGTATAGGTGGCAGTATCAATGATGGTATTGGTGGCGGTTGCGATGGTGGTGGTGTCATGATGGTGGTGTGGTGGTGATGTTATGGTGTGTTGGTGGTGGTGGTGATTGTGTTGGTTTGGTTGGTGTGGTAATGGTAATAATAATAATCTGAAAACTAACTAAAAAAAAAAAAAAAGAGGGAAGAGAGATGAAAAATAAAGAATCAGAAAAATGTCTTTCGACTAAAACCCTAGAAAGACATTGGGTTTAGAAAGTATGTATGAATAGATACTACAATGTAATTGAATTAGTAGTATTCTAAAAAACAAAAAACACTAGAAAGACATTTTCCATCAAATGGAGTCTTTTTTGTTGACCATAATAAATATTTTCCTTTGACTTCATTTTCCTTGAGTACCTAAAAAAATTCGAAAAAAAGACTCCCGAAAATTATTTTTCGAGACCCTAAATCACTCTACATTTCAACCTCTGGATTATTATTAAGAAAATCTCATTTTAATTTTCTCAATTGCAATTGTTGATTTGTTGAATGCTCTTCATATCAACCTCCTTAAACCTTTATTCCATTTCAAAAGAAGTTCATGAAAGATATTACTCTAATGTCAAAAAAACACATGTGTCAATCTTATAATAAAATCCACAAATCCATTCACCATATCCGCCTAGTGAGACGAAGGGTCTGTCTCAAGCCACCCCCTTCTTTCGTCTCCACCAGATACGAAGACCGGATCTTCGTCAAAAGAGGAGGGGGGCGGGAAGGGGTGGCCGGTGGCCACCCTGACGTTTTTTTTTTTTTTTTTTTTTTTAAATTTTAATTTTTAAAGTTTATTACTAAAAATTATTTGAAATGACACCTCACCATCCATGTAAGCAAGCAACCTGATGAAATGGGTACGATGTTAACCGTCTATCAGGTGAAATTGCATACATTTGAGGTGTTCAGTGACTTAATTGCACTTTTTTTTTTTTTTTTCATTCAGTGACCTAATTGCATTTTCATGTTATGTACTTATGTTCATTGGTCAATTTGGACCTTATTCCATAATTTTTTTTTAAAGAGTTTGATTCAGTATTATAGTAATTTTTTATGTATCAATTTATACATTTATCAACATTCTAAAGTATAAACAAATAATTATATCAACTCCTAAATAATTGATAGACAAGATTGACTCCATTAAGAATTAATCTCCTAACCTATGTCATCAAAAGCTAACTTAACATGGAGATTGAGTTCTTAACCTCGTATTAGACGGTTTAACGTTTTTAATGGTTCATTTAATCCTCCGCAAAAAGAGTGCTACAAGCTAAGTGTTTTAACACTTGTTAAGAAACATTAAAGGCAGTTATTAACGATCATTAAATTAGATTTTTCTGCCTATTATATTATATTATTAATTAATTAATTGGTCTTTTTGAATTGATAAATTTTACTACGCGTTATTCACACGTAAAAATAATATGAATGTTTAATACTTCTTAATTGATTCAATCATTCAAAGTTTTTGTAACGGTATGCACTAATTGGTGTAATGTTCCTTATTTAATATTTCTCTAATTTGTGTATATATAAAGAGAAAGCATTAATTTGCGGTGTGGTTGAGTGAAAAATGACTCATCAATCCTTAACCAAAGGTCCTTGACTTTGGATATGGAACAACCTTAATTTCCAGGCTAACTGTTCCACCCAAAAGAGATGCCTACAATTCAACGAAAGAATTAGTCATTGTGTTTGATGGTGGAAACCTTGGGTACACTCAAAAAAAAAAAAAAAACATTAATATGCTTTAAGCTTTTTTCATTCAAATTGTTTGTATCTTGCATTTTAAGGGTTGAATTTTCAATTTTCTTGTATACATACACTATTTGATTTACGAAAAAGTTTACATCTATTACTCAAAAGTGTGTATGGAATGAAGCCTTCCTTGTGACTAGACCCTCCACAATGCTCCAACTAGACTACCCATAGCTAACAAATTCAAACCAAGCAGCTCTCATAGAGTGTCGAACTTAAAACATTATTGTTAACAAACCAATTATTCGACCAACTTTGATAAATACATCCTTACCTAATTAATGCTCCAATTAAGTTTTCTAATCTTTTATTTAAGTTAGTATAGTTCAAATTAAAGAGGCCAAATATCATGATATAAACTAAACCAGGAAAAAAAAAATGTATATGATATGCAAGTTTTAGGCTTTGAGAATTTTCTACCAAATATTGTATATTGATCAAAATATAACTAACTCTTTATAAGCCATTTAACTTATAAACAAGTAATGAATATAAAATAATTGTCACATTATACTTACTTTAAAAAATTGATTTAAATAGTGTACGTTTTCTATATTTTATTAGTATTGCAGAATTTTTTGTTTGGTGGAATCTGAATTCTATATTTCTAATAATCAAATCAATCCAACATTTTGTTCTAAAGTGTAGGTATAGAGACCGCAGAGAGTGGTGTTGAGCCAAAAAGTAAGGGCATCATAGGAGATGTCCAAATAATGCATGCATGGTTAATTGTATATATTAAGTAGTTATTTATTTTTGTGGTGTCTATATTTTGATGGGATTGGATCTGTCATCTTTTTCTTTTCTTAATCCGATCCAATCCATACATTAAATAAATAAATAAATACGTGAGTGTGACAATATATATATATATATATATATATATATATATATATATATATATATATTGTCACACTCACATGAGAATTGATACTCGATCAAAAGAAAACTAAAAACTTAATCTAATCTTCGATTTTGAAAGATCAACGACTCTAAAGTTAGGGAAAAAAAATTGGTGGTAGTTTAGTAATTATTACAAATTTTGAGTACACTTTTACATATAATTGAGTGACAAGTGCATGTTGTAGCTTTACATGCATGGTACACTTTTCTTTTTTTTTTTTTTTTTTGAAAACTGCATTGTACACTTTTAGATTCACATTTTGAGTACACTTCTATATATTAACGGATGCACGTGTTATGCAGTGCATGTGTGCACCTGAGCGTCAATTTTTATGTGTGTATGCGCGCGTACGTGTGTGTCTATGTGCATGTACGTGCGTGTTTTGATGTTGGTTATATATTTGAAATTTTTATATTATTTAAAGTAGTGCGATATGAATCTAGTAGTTTAAGGTACGTAATTGGTAAACGAATTGTTAATACAATTATAAAGTCAAAAATTAAACTCAAGAAAATGTGTCTTATAGTCCAATTGAATAAATGAACATGCTTCCTAAAAGAAA